TGTCGGGCGTCGTCATGGCCGTCGCCACGGTGCTATTGTCATGGCGATATTACAGTATCAATACCCTGACACTGCGACAAAGAGACAGCAGCCAATGCCACATCACTCCACCCCTTTAACCCCTCTCCTCTCCTCTCATTCTCCCTCCATCCTCACCAATCGATCCCTCCATCTCTGACTAAATATGTGCGTATTGATTCAGCGTCGGTCCCCTGCTCTCTTCTTCAATCCCTCTTTCTCTCTCTCTCTCTCTAACATCTATCAGGTTTCATCTCCCCTCAGACCACCCCTATGTCGCTCTCTTTTCCTCCTCTTCATCTGTCATTTCATCTCCCTTTTTTCACTCCTTCCTGTTCTCCATGCCATCTCTTCCCCCCACCTCTGCATGTTTTTTTTTTCTTTCTTTCTTTCTTTCTTTCTTTTTTGTCTCCGTCTCACTCACTCTCTGCATATTAATTGGTGCATTTGTGCTGCGGCGTACAAGACAATCAAAGCGTTGGGGGCGGGTGATGATATGACTGTATCAGACAACACACACACACAAACAACACACACACACACACATGTTCAGGCAGACACACTCGCGTGAGCTGACAGTCAGAGGTGTGTGTGTGAGTTAATATCCAGATTCCTCTCCGAAATCATCCTCAAACTCCCAAACACATCTGAAGATCCGAACCAGACAAAAACACCTGTGCATGCAGAGAATCAGAATCTGACATGCAAACGATTTCATTCTGTGGATACTGTATATAGAGTGCAGAGAGATTATTATTATTGTTGTTGTTGTACAACCGAAAGCTCCAAATTAATTATTAGTTTAACCAACCTATTTATTTATTTGGAAGGAAGGAATGAAAAATGTTCTGAATCTGATATACAAAGGTTTTCTGTTAAGGGTCTAAATAATAAATTATTATTATTATTAATTTACTTATTCCTGATTTACAGCAAAATGCTTCAAATGCATTAGGAGTTCAACTTGTATTATCTTTTTTTTTTTTTTTTCTTCAAAGGCCAAAAGGTGCAGAAGCTGATAAAATAAGCTGTGTAAAATAAGGGTGTATTCACACCGGGGGCCCTTTCTCCGTACGTCGCTTGTTACATCTGAGATGATTCGAAAGATTACAGATCTTCTAATCCTGATAACTGATCTCTGGCTAATGTGGTTCTTCAAACGAATTTGCATATTAGATTAAAATATCTGGATTAAGTTGTCTAGGATTACGGTGTGTTCTCGTGTTCCCCGAAAAGGGCAGATGTATCGATACTCGAAACCACGATCAGCGATGCAGCGATTGGCTGGCGGCGAGACAGCAACGTAATGACATCATATCCTTAAAAAAGACACCTGACGAAAAATTTCTGAACCTTTATAAGGAAACAGCCAAGTGAACAAAACTACATGAATGGTATAATAGAAAAATGTGCACTGTTTTTATTTTTTTTACATGATTCCCAATTATTTATATTCACCATTTCTAGTATTTGCAGGCTTTACATTTGTATCTCAATGTTGTAATTAGCAATTAATTTAATTTTATCTTTGAAACAGATTTGTTATGTGACGGCATTAATTAAAGTGTCTTAAGGGTCAAGATCAAGTTATCTGCATCTCCTGCGCTCCATCAAGCCTCTCCCATAATAGCTGTCAGCACTCAAATTAATGCACGGCTCAGATTAACTGTATACATAAAGAAATTATTTCATCATACATATTTCAATGAGTAAAAGTGCCTGTGTCTATATATAGACAGCCAGTTTTACTCATTGAAATATACTGTAGCCTATAGACTACACAACATTATTATATAGTTTTTCAATTATTATTATTTTAAATTACTATCCCTGGATCAGCAGGATACTCTTCTAATGAAGTAGCAGTAGGACAGATTTTAACTATCAATTCTGCTTAAAAAGATGCGATCTAATCCTGCTTACATGAAATAAGCTGCTCCCGAGCAGGTTTAAGCTCACAGACCAGAACAGAACAGAACAGAGTTTTTCAATTATTATTATTTTAAATGACCGTCCCTGGATCAGCAGGATACTCTTCTAATGAAGTAGCAGTAGGACAGATTTTAACTATCAATTCTGCTTAAAAAGATGCGATCTAATCCTGCTTACATGAAATAAGCTGCTCCCGAGCAGGTTTAAGCTCACAGACCAGAACAGAACAGAACAGGGATGAGCTTCGAAGAACCAAACAATCCGAGATCAGGCGAAATCGTCAACAATCAAATCCAGCTAACTGAGTTAGCCACGTACGAAGAACGGGCCCCAGGAAAGTCTGCTAGTTCACTTGCTTTGGTCCGGACCAAATACATTGAGTTTGTTTGGTGCGGTTCGCTTTCGCACTGCTCTTTTTGTAAGTGAACCAGCAAATGTAACACGTGTGCTTAAGATCATCCATGCAACCGTATAGAGTTGGTTTGGAAGCGGACCGAGACACCTCTTCAGCTGGGTCTCTGTGCGGACCCGAGTGCGATTGCTGTATTCACACCTGCCCCAAAGATCCGCACCAAGAGGGGAAGCGAACTTGAGTTCGATTCAATCGAACCAAACAAGACAGGTGTGAATACACCCTAACAGTAGGTGGCGATTAATTACCTATATAATACATTTGTTTATTTATTTATATATGATGTAGAGAGAATTCGAGATTTGTTGTTGTTGATGTTGTTGTTATTATTTACAGCAAAATCTTCCAAATCCATTAGTAGTTCAACCTATTTATTTATTATTTATAGCTCCCCCCCCCCCCCCAAAGTAAAATGAGGTGCTGAATCTGATATACAACAGTTTTCTATTATAGGTGGTTTTCTCTGAAGATGGTTATTTATTTGTTTATTCGTGGATCTCACATCAAAAGAGGGTGAGTAACATGTATACTGATATCTATAACATCTATATAGACTATATATAGAGATAGATTATTATTATTGACGTTGCTATTGTTTCAATGCATTGAATGCATTTATTTATTTAGGCCTAGGCTATTTATTTATCTATGCCTATGTATGCATGCATGCATTTTCTGTTACAGGCCGTTGTTGTTTGTTTAAAAGAGGGTGCATAGCACGCGTTACACTTAATGTGGCCTGAGGTCGTGCTGTTTTACTCGCGCGCACCTGCGCCGCTTCCACGTGGAGCGCGAGTTTCTTCACAATCACAAGTGAACTACAGAAGCCCTTTCTGACGGACGGCAAAGCAGCAAACACCCGCTCCTACAGGCTACTCTTTAAAAGACGTCCGGGTGTAGATCTGAGCGACGCGAGAAACTTGTGTGGAGCGTGATTTGTGTCAAAAGTCCGTCCCGCGAAGCTATTGATCGTTTTAAAATGGTGCCTCTGCGAGATTATAATTACATTTGCAACCTACAGCCTCCGCCTCTCTCTCTCTCTCTCTCTCTCTCTCTCTCTCTCATTCACTCACTCACTCACGGCTGCACAATAAATGGATTTTTGAGAAAAGAGAGAGAGAGAGAGAGAGAGACGTGTGAGGAAAGAGAGGAGGAGGAGGAGAAGATAGAGAGGGCAGAAGGGAGGGGGCATCGGCGTATGCTTGTATACAACTACCCCCGATTTCCATTTTTCCCCCTAACTCCTAATGTATTTAATTCAAGTGAAACGTAATCATGACGTGTGCTGTCATTAATCTCCTCGCCGCCTCTCCCGTAAGTACATTCAGCCTTACTTTCAGCACAAAACACCCGATTCCTTTCAAATAACTGACCTAATCTGCGCTTTTTGAGCGATTTTACTGATGCACATCGCTCGCGAGTGTGATGGTGTGCGCGAGCGTGCAGTTTGAGACGTATAGAGAGCGATTGTTGTCGCCTTCACAAACAACAAATATCCGACGACGACTTTTTTTTGGGGGGTGGCTGATCCGGGTGATGCAAAGCCATGGAGACTGAATAGCCGTCGCGTTTACACCTCGCGTTTCTTTGCACATGCATGCATCCAGAGATATTGATTGGCGTCTGGTGTTTCATACGTGTTCTCGCGCATACACACTTCCTCACTTTTGTCTCGTGCCGTGTATGTCGCCGGGGGGGGTGGCTGATCCGGGTGATGCAAAGCCATGGAGACTGAATAGCCGTCGCGTTTACACCTCGCGTTTCTTTGCACATGCATGCATCCGGAGATATTGATTGGCGTCTGGTGTTTCATACGTGTTCTCGCGCATACACACTTCCTCACTTTTGTCTCGTGCCGTGTATGTCGCCGGTGTGTGTGTGTGTGTGTGTGTGTGTGAGAGAGAGAGAGAGAGCGAGCGCGCGTGTGTGTCCTGAAAGAGATGCGAGGCTCGCGCATGAAAATGCAACTTTCGTTTTTTAAGGCCCTTGAATATTACCAGAGCCTCAAGTGTGGAAAAAAAAGTGCACTGAACTCAGAGGTACACGCTGAGTGTAGATGTTTGAACTTTTTTTCTAGTGCGAGAAGCAACCGTTCATTTCTCCGCGACTGCACTATTGCAAAGTTTTATACTTTATGAGAAGCATTGCTTAGTTATGTTGCAGTCAAAACCCGCATGTTTGAACTTAGTTTGTGTGGGACGCAGACAGATCCGACTGGATCGGACGCTCTGGGGGGGGAAAAACAGCAGCATATTAATAACTTCGAAGAACATAGGAAAGCGTTCAGTGCATGTTAATGCAAAAGCTGGTAAATTTGCACGCGCTCCGCATGTCCTAACGTCACCTCACACAGATGCGCGCTCGCTATTTAAACCTGCAGCTGCTAGTTTTACAAAAGACCCTAAAAACACGTAAAGTTTCGTGATTAGCCACGATAGCAGCGGATTTCCAGATGAAACCCCACGATGGCACTTTTCAGCTGCACCCTGATGGCTTGTCCGTTTCCCCTCCCTTTATCTTTTGTTGAAAGAAAATCAGGAAGAAAATGGAGCGCACAACATCCCGTCCCAAATGTTGCATGTCTGCCTCTGTTTGGGTAAAAACGATGCCGTTGCGTCTGTAAATCGCGATTTAATGCACGGGCTTAATGTCGGCGTTCGCGGAAGGACGCGTCGTGCGCGCGTTTGTTTGTGAGCATTTATTTATTTCATTAATGTGGCTTTTTAATTGAGATGGCCGCGAGAGAGAAGGCGACTGAAAATGGTTGCGCGTTTTATCACGCGAGGAAATTCCTCTCCACAGACGCTCATCTGATGTCCTGCAAATGCATCCCGCCAAGAAACTTTACACACACACTCACACACACACACACATATATGGAAATTCTATAAGGCGCCATTGCTTTCCATTATTTAGCGCTGGCACAGATTTGGGTGCTATTAGACGGGTGACGGAATGAGACCAGCCCCCTGAACTGACGCGACAGTTTGACGGATAAAGAGGGCAGAGCAGCGCAGAGATGTGGTGGAAGCCCTGTAAACAACTTTTACAAGCAGATCTGCTCCTGCTCGTCTTGATAACCTGCACGGACAGCACATCTGGATGAGATGTTGCAGGGGCTTCAGAATTTGACCTGGCACCTGGCTAATTCAGCCACAGATTTCCAGATCGGTATGGTGACATAATTAGCAATAGCATACAGGAAGCTGGGATTTATTCCTGTTCATGCTTGCAAATAAGGAGACATAACATGTTTATCTTCTTGCTGTATGTAAGGAACAACAGGTTGTCAGTTCAAGGTATCTGTGTGTTTAGTAACTGACGAACATGCCTGCATGGGTCCAACTTTAAATAAGGTGGCCTTATGCACTTACATCAAAAAATAACATACAGTGTACCTGTACCTGTAGTGCAAAACACGGTTACATTTTAAGGCGTCCTTGTTACAGTGTAATTATACATTTAAGTACTGAGTAATATTAACTACATGTACTTGTACTAAATGTTTAGGGTTAGGATTATGGTTACTTGCATGCAATTATGCATGATTAATTGTTATTATGATATCAAGTACATGGTGTAACAAAGTGTTACCCAAAACACTTCTGCTGCTATTGAGGTGGGATACAGGTAAGGTCAGGGACAAGTTTGGTGGTTTGGGTAGGTTTAAGGGTGGGTTAAGGTGTAAGGGATGGGTCAACAGTATAATTACATATATGTAATTACATAAATTAATTACAGATGTAATTACATGCATGTATTTTTTCAAATAAAGTACAGTGTTAAACATGTATGTACACAATAAGTGCATTGCATCAAATGATTAATTTAAATGTAAGTGCATGGTAGTAAAGGCCACCTAATATAAAGTGGGACGTCTGCATGTTATCCATCATTATAAAAAGTTAAATTATGCCATTTGCATGTCATTTTACCTTATTTGACCACTAAAAACTGCTTTTGAATGATTTAACAGAATGCAATTATGTTTATTTAATCTCATTAGATAATACAGCCCGTTAATTTACAGGCTACCTCATAAAACATGTGACGAAACATTTTGACATACTATATTCAAGTTCAAATTCGGCAGGGCTCATCCCGTTCATGCAGATATAGATCAGCTTTGTCGGTTTGAGTTCCTCTCTGTGCTCAGATGCCTGAAGCTAGACTTTCTAGCACAGCACACTGCCTTTGTGGCGAACACCTTACAGCTCGTGTCATTGGTGGAGGTCAGAGGTGGGCTGTTCGTTGTAAAAAAAACAATTCTGATTGAAAATGATCACTTCTTTAAATCATTCGAGGCTTGATTTCACCTGAATCTGAGCCCATGCTCTCTTGATGTCCGTACTGACTCGGACCCGGCTTACACCTGTTATTATCCATCTCAGGCGATCCGGCATCAGTTTTGACGGCTCAAATCATTATTACGCGATTACGTCTCATATATATGTCAGGTTCTTACTGCAAGTTGATAAAATGAAGGGGGAAAAATGGCATACTCCTGCTCCCAAATATAGGCTACTTTTTAATTGTGATCTAAAAAAAAAAGAATATAATTAACTGTCACTGCTTATAGATGATGCCAGACATGTCCTTGTTGTTCTGTGAAGTCTAATGCATATACGTCTGGGTTTTCCAAATGTTTGAATCACTATAATCCAGGTGCATTAATGTTTACACCACTTATGTAGTGTGCTCGAATGTGGTTGTAGTGATCAGATCAAACACGTTTTGGATCCTATTTACACTTGCATTTAACATTATTGGATCACCTGGGATTGCTATTCATACCAGGTATAATAAAACAATCTATAGTCCACCCAAAAACATGTCAACGTACTGTAAATGTGTTCCGGAGAAATGCGACCCCATTTAAAGTACCGGTGATACTCAGATAATGGAATAATCAGTTGACCTCAATCAAAATCCTACAGATGTTGCAAACAGGTTGCTGTTTTTTTCACATGGGATGCATTTGTTACTTCAGTGTTGACTTTTTTGACATTTCTAATTGGCAAAAGTCCAAAAATAAAAGCACGACATATATCAAATAATTTTAATAGCAGCTACATTACATGCAGTTCTTTTAAACAACAGCGGTCTATTTCTCTTTTCTTATTTTTTTGTTTATACGATATTCATTCCATTACATACAAAGCCGTTAGTTAAATAGTCAATGCATGTGCCCCAAGAAGGCACAAAATATGCGAGCGTGTATTTGTGTGTGCTTGTACTGGGAGTGTAGCATGTGGCCATTCAGACAAAGGTGTTTAGCATGCATGAATCATCTAGTGACTAGGTGCCATATTGAGTGTGTGTATGTGTGTGTGTGTGTGTGTGTGTGCATGCATTATTTGCGCATGCTGCTTTGTCGCTCTCCTGCGTTCATCTCTCCCCTCCCCCTTCTGTCTAGCACCTTATCACTCTCTCCATCTATCCAAATTTGGAGAAGCTTTATTGGCATGACAGGGTTGGTCAGACACGAACGTGTCTGTCAAGGCGGAACAGTGCATTGCCATGACGATATTCATATGATAATAATGCCAACAGACCAAACAGATCGCAAGATCCTCCATTGCAGAGCAGAACACTCTGTCCCCTTTCTCGACAGATTTACTCATCAAATATGCTCATTGTGTTCTTCATTTATGTTTTTTCTTCACTAACCCCCCCCCCCCTCTCATTCTCTCTTTCTCGCCTGTCTGTCTCTCTCCTCTCTTTTCTTTTCTCTTCGCCATGTTGGCAGGCCCCAATCTACCAGCTGATATCAGCATTCCCTGGCACTGTGCCAACTGGCACCGCTGCAGAGAGACAGAGAGTGAGAGAGGGAAAGATAGAATGAAAGAAAATCAGTCAAGAACAGAGGGAGGAGGGAATGAGGGTGAAAAGAGAAAAAGTGCAAGGGGTGGATTCACAATTTATGAACGTGAAAAGACAGAAGGAAGGAAAAAGGAGGACAATAATGGTGGGATTAGAAAAGAAAGAAAGAAAGAAAAATGGAGGGGGCAGTATGATTGATATAGTGTGATATCGTTGTGAGTCACGGCTGAGCTAAAATGTCAACTGGCTCTGTTAGCCACCGATTCGTCCAAGTCTTATGTCACAGATACACATACTTTCACACACAGTCACAATCACACACTAATGCACAAGCAAACACTTGATTGTGTACATAAATCCCAACTCAGACACAGACATACAGTTCAGTCTGTTCGTAGAGGTAAATACAAAATTTAAAAAACCCACCCACACAAACACAAGCATAGTGACACATATTCAGGCATACAGACGCCCTCACAGATGTTTAGCAGATTGTCTTTCTGTAATTATCAATGAAATTAATTTTCTCTTATGAAAGAAGCAGGTGTTTTTTTTTTTTTTTTTTTTAAAAACCAAATCTTTTTTTCCCCTTTTTTTTTTTTTTTTTTTTTCCACTTTTTTTTTTTTTTTTTTTTTTTTAATCTATTTAAAATGAATCAATTATGATCCATCAGGCTTTTGAGGAAAGTGTATTTGTTCATCTCTCAAACGTCATTGTATTGCATTGCGTTATATGTTTTGAAACTACAGAGCTTTAATCATAAAATGGAGTATTTAAATATCATCCCATAAGACATTATTGGGAGCTACAAAGTGACAGCTGATATTAATATGCATGCAGTTTAATTGTCTGTTATAATGTTAAAATCGTTTCTAAAGATTCTATCAGAATTTAATCTATCAATCAGAATTCTATCAGAATTGAATCTTACTTTTTGGCCATATAAAGAGATTTGCATCATGGATGTGCAGCTAACAAATCTGCAGCAACTTCATGATGCTATAATGCCAATATGAATCAAAATCTCTGAGGAATGTTGTGAATATACAGTATGCCGAGAAGAATTAAGGCAGTTCTGAAGCCAAAATGATGTATTACATAATAAAGTGGCCAGTGAGTGTATAAGCTAAAATGATGCTTGCCCTGTTAATCAGCACTAATTACAATAACTCCAAAGAATGAAAAACCTGAAAAAAATAACACTCCCAGTAGTTCACATATTAGTCAGATGCGCTTTCCATGATTTCATCTCTTTGCGATCTTTCTCTTTTCTTTTTTTCTGTGCTCCAGTTCTCTCTAATCTCTCAGTGTCATTTCCAAGGCCTGGTTACAGCCACTATTTTTGCACATCTGTCTAACACTATCTGATAAACGCACAGAACATTCCCACAACCAGGAAATAAGACGAAGGGCTCCATATCACTTCAGAAATTATGTTCAGAGGCTCCTCAAGGCATTACTCCCTGAAAATGCATTTGTCAATAGACTCATTTGATAGCCTCTGTGTTTCTCACCCATCAAAATTAGATGAGGACTTGATCGAAAAAACACGAAAGGGATCAGAATAAAACTCAGTTTCAAACTTCAAATCAATGTAATTCTGAAGTCTGTTTACTAGAAATGAAAGAAGCTATTAATCTTTGAATTGATGCATCATGTAACCTATCATTCATTCATGCATTGGATGCTCAGTGGGAACCAAGTCTCACGTGTCACGCCACATTCAAACACTATCTCACCCACACATAAACCTGGAGGCCATGGACTTTTTTTTCTTCTACCTGTTTTACTCTTCCTCTCACTGTCATTCACATATTGAATGGCTCTTTCCTGTCTGTGTGCTGAAATGTGCTTCCATACTTTTCTGACATCAGTCTTTTTTAGTTTTTGTCTGAGAGACAGAGAGTGAGAGAGGGAAAGATAGAATGAAAGAAAATCAGTCAAGAACAGAGGGAGGAGGGAATGAGGGTGAAAAGAGAAAAAGTGCAAGGGGTGGATTCACAATTTATGAACGTGAAAAGACAGAAGGAAGGAAAAAGGAGGACAATAATGGTGGGATTAGAAAAGAAAGAAAGAAAGAAAGAAAGAAAAATGGAGGGGGCAGTATGATTGATATAGTGTGATATCGTTGTGAGTCACGGCTGAGCTAAAATGTCAACTGGCTCTGTTAGCCACCGATTCGTCCAAGTCTTATGTCACAGATACACATACTTTCACACACAGTCACAATCACACACTAATGCACAAGCAAACACTTGATTGTGTACATAAATCCCAACTCAGACACAGACATACAGTTCAGTCTGTTCGTAGAGGTAAATACAAAATTTAAAAAACCCACCCACACAAACACAAGCATAGTGACACATATTCAGGCATACAGACGCCCTCACAGATGTTTAGCAGATTGTCTTTCTGTAATTATCAATGAAATTAATTTTCTCTTATGAAAGAAGCAGGTGTTTTTTTTTTTTTTTTTTTGGTTGTGTTTGGGCCTGTCCGCTGCAGACTTATGTAATCTATGCATGTGTGGCTTTATGTAATTGTTCACTTCTATCAGTGCACTGTGTGTTAAGGGTGTGTGTGCTTATATGAGTAGCTTAGGTAATGAGAGATTGTGGGGGTTTAGATCAGTTATATCTATGTGTCTGGATTTAAGGTGTGTATGTATGTATTTTTGTTCTGATTTAAGCAGCTACTGTAAGTGTATGTGCAGGAAGGGTGTGTGGGGAAGTCCAAACATCTCGCGCCCATCCTGTTTGGGACAGTCCATGTCCTGCTCTGCCCTTAGACCCGTACACAGGAACAAATGTGTGTACACTCATTTTTTTATTCTGTGTTGTACTTGACAGGGGACTGTTGGAGGTGGTCAGGCAAATTGCCACCATCAGAACACACCCTCTTTAAGTCAAGGAAGTGAAGCATGGCATAGACACATCACCAGTGAGTGATCTATCTGTCTGTCTGTCTGTCTGCCTATCTATCTAATCTAGATCTAATCACAATTATCAATTATTTCCTCGCTCAGAGAATGGATTCTCCACCAGAGAGTATGCTGGCTCTTTCCTGTGAGCCCCCATTGTCTCCTCCCTCCATGCCGTCCCTGGACCACAGTCCCCAATTCCTACCCCAGAGTCTTCAATCTACCCCTTCTAGCCCTCAAACTGAACTCTATGCCCCGGTCTCACCTTGCCCCCTTCCGGAGGCCAGCCTCCAAGATGAGGAGGAGGAGGAAGAGGAGCTGTCAACTCCCCCATCACCCACCCCAGCGGTGGCGCTGTTTCCTGGTGAACTGGAGCTTGGCAGTCCCTCATCGGAGAGCAGCCCCCCAGCCACACCATTAACACCTTTTCCTGGTTTTGGAGCTCTGGAGCAGGCCATCTCCTCTGGTCAAAGTACCACCTGTGATGATGAGTTGGATCTTCAACTTTTCAACAATGAGGGCATGGCTGTGCCCGGAGGGACAAGCTCTGGGCCTGGCCTAAGGTTCCCGTGCCATGTGTGTGGAAAGAGGTTCCGCTTCCAGAGTATTTTGTCCCTGCATGCTCGAGCTCACAGTTTAGACCGGGAGCGTCGAGCTTCAGCTCCCTACCGAACCACACATGCCAAACTGCAGCAGAACCATGTGGGTGACAGTGTAATCCAGAATCTCAACAACAGAGAGCCTGGTCTGAAACTGAGTCCATTATCTGGGTCATTACAAAAGAGTATGGATGAGGACATGGTTCCAGAGGAACCTCTTCAAACTGCTAGCAGCCCACATTTCCTCTTTGAAGGAACCACAGCCCTGACCCCACCTCTAACAGAGGAAGCACCAATCTCAACCACCTTCTCTCCACTTGGCCATGCCCACTTGGAAGACAACACCCCCTCCACAGCTGCTTCTGCCTTCCGGTGTCATGCTTGTAAGGGTAAGTTCCGTACAGCTTCAGAGCTGGCACGTCATGTGCGGATCCTCCACAACCCCTACAAATGTACAATGTGTCCCTTCTCAGCCAGTCAGGAGGAAAGCCTGGCTGCCCATCTGCAGGAGAGCCACCCACCTGAAGATCCTGCCACTGAAACAGTTTTTCCTCCTCACCCTATAACAGCACCAACAGAGACTCCTCCCTCACAAAT